TTTATTATTATTTTTTTTTTTTATGATAAATTTGAGTTATATTACGAATAAAAATTATTAATTCTGTGATTAAAATGTTTTCTCAAAGTTTTGAAAATGTTTTCACAAATCGCACTATCAGAATATTAGTGTTTTAACTCAAAAAATAGTGATTTTGAGTTATACTAATTTTCTTATGGTAAAAATGAAGTTCTTTATAGTGCTTACCATATTATCTTGTATTTACAAAATTGAATAAGTTAAACCATACAATACTTTAAGGTAATAAAGAAAATAATAAGTTTCTGTGTATTCAATTTTACTATTACATTACGACGAAAATAAATAGTTTAATACATTAGTGCGTTATTTTAAGATAATACACTACTGCTCTTGGGTTAGTTTACATTTTATTGATTATTATAATTATAATAATTATTATGATTTTAAACTATGTTCAAACTATTAAACTTTTATAGTTTTAGACTTTTCTAAAACGAATTCTCGTAGTAGAACAAAACAAATGCTCAAATTAGTATTATCATTTAGATAATAATAAGAATGTTGATTTAGGAGAAGTGCCTAGTTTTTATTATAAGCGTAGATTAGCTACATATAATTTTACAATATTTGACTCCAATAGTAATGAAGGTTACTGTTTTATATGCAGAATGAAAGTATAGGCAATAGAGGTGCAATAGAAATTGGAAGTTATATTTTAAAGTTGATTGAAAAGTTAATTGCATCAAAATATGAAAGAATTAAGTAAACATTTTACTCTGACAACTGCAATTGACAAAATAATGTATATTATATTATGTGTATATGTACTTTGTTGTTTTTAGATATTTTAGAAATAACTCATAAGTTCTTAACAACTGGTCACACACTATTGCTTGTAGACTTAATGTAATAACAGCAAAATTAAAAACTAAAAAAAAAAAAAACGAACTTTAAAAAGCGGACAGTTTATATACCAGCACAATGGCTATCAATTATTAAATTAACCAGAAAAAAAAAATGGAAAGCTTTACTCAGCTGAATAAAAGACTGGAAAAAACTGTTTGAAAAAGATTGAAAAACAGAACAAAAAGGAAATCATTGAAAAAAAAAAATGTTTAAATAAGTCACAAGAACCTACTACTTAAAATTTAAACAAAAATCAAATAGTTCTTTATGTTTAGTTGTCACAAACAATCATTTAAAATTAATTAATATTAATGTAAAGATAACATTGATACTTTGTTTTTTATATACCTAATATTAACCAAAGTTCTGATTTATTTTAATTATAATTACTATTATTTTTCAAATTCTATCAAAAGCTATTAATTAATTAACTATTACATTATTATTATAAAATCAAAGTTTAGGTTAAAACTATTTTGTAAGCTGTAATATTATATTGTTTGATTAATAATCAAGTAATATAAATTCTCAATCACCTGGAAGTTTCGACAGTTCTTGTAAAAAAAAAAATGATTGTTAGGTTAGGTACAAACATTTTTTGAAATTAAAGAAAAATGAAAAACGATAAGGTAAAGAAATTTCCTAAATACTAAGCAGATCAACAGGTCCTATTAAAAAATTATAATTGTCCTGTGCAACAAATAATGTAATATATAAGTTATTTTTAATATACAAAGAACTATGCGTACACCATTTTTAAGGTACGAAATAATAACACAGTAAAAGTAGAGGGTCAACAAGGTAGAGTCAACAATTATAACTTAAAGAACATAATAAAGTAATATCCACTTGAATCAGGAGAAACATTGAAGAGTCATTTGAAGATTAATATTGTGGTCTAGTCGATCGAAAAACGGATTAGACGACCGAACTACCGTTTCGATTCTTATAGATTAGAGGTAAATATAAATATATAATTTATCGATGAAATAAGACAAAAAATTTAGTTGTAAATTTCAAAGTACCAAATTGGTGTGATAAATGTACTTGGCTTAGTGGTCAAAATAAAAGCAAAATTTTTTTTTTTTATCTGATGCATCTACTTATATTAACTATCAATCAAAAACAATAGAAAATTTACTTGTAAATTTCAAATTATATAGTTGGTATGATAAAAGTACTTGGCTTAGTATTTTAGATTTACATAATCAACTTTTTGCTTCATCTGTGTATTTTTTCGAGGTGAAAAAGAATAGAGTTTTACGGAATATCTATTTTAAAAATATTAATTTTCTTTGTAGTTTAAATTAATTACCTTATGAAGTCGAATTCACCAATTCATTGAAGAATTATACGCAAAAGTTAAGTTTCTCCATACATTTTATTCACGTACTGCTACTAATGTGTAATTCACACAGACATGTTTTCTTTCATTCAACTGATTAATTTTCATGCAGTTACTCATAATGTAACCAATTTATTGAAGACATAAATAGTTTTAATTCAATTTTTGCGACAATAAGTTTTATAAAAATATCAAAAAAAGTTTAACACGAATAACTCTGTTTTTAAAAATAGAATTGCTATCAATGAGTACATTAAATAGCAACCAATGTTTTAATGTTTGTCAGTCACACTTTTTATAAATTAAGGAACTATCTCTAGTTTTTTTTTTTTCATTGAATCTATAATCAATATACTGCACAGAAGAAATATACGTAATGAATGACAGTTTACTTTGGTTGTAGTAACTGTTAACTAAAACAAAAGGTAATTGCATAAAAAACATTTGTCAAAAATAACGAAACGTTAATTTTTCATTATTATATATAAAAACGATGACAGACCGACAACAACTGATAACTACGTTGAAATAAACGAACAGAAGTACCGTTCCTTACGTATCACTACCTCCAAATGCCACTTCGGCATAAAATGATACTAACTAGGTATCTCGATTACCTCCATAAAGCTACTGACGCGCTATGCCTTGGAGGGAACGAAAAATTATTGCACCTATATAGTATATAAACAGAAATTCCGTTTGGCGATGACGATGTATTCATGTTCTATGTTTTTAAATATTAATCATTAATCATTATTTATACATTCACGAAATTCATCCGTCCAAATCTGTGTGCAGAATTGGTTTAGACAACGATTATCGGATTATGTAAGATGTTGTAAATTACAGTAGGTGAAAAATTTGGTGCATCAAGGAAAAAATTATGTTTTAATATTATCTTCTAATAGTATAACATCTCATATTATATGAACCGTTATTATTGAGAATTTTTAAATTATAGATAATAATATAATAATTAATATTGTCATAAATGCAACAATACAAAATTAAATAAATAAAAAAAATTTATAAAAAGTTCATAAATCAATTTTGAGTAGGTACTTAACTTTAATATACAAATGATTAAAATAATTTAGTAATTATGTTTTGCATGGTTTATTAACAATCATATAAAAAGTAAGTACGGTAGGTTAATTCTAATTTCACCAAACTATTAAGCATATAAATTTTATGGGTGATATTAACATTTGGATAACGTCAACATTAGTCGTGCCTTTTGGGTAATGTATAATTTTTCGTTTATATACATGAAATATCAAGATTATCCTGATAAGATCAACGTCAATCAGTAAATATTGGATTATGTTAAAAGAGTAAGAGTTTTTGATAGTACTCTGTATACTATCACAATAATAAAGCGCCTGATTTCTAGAGTATAAAAACTTATCTTATCTTATTCTAACCATAATTCATCTTATTAATCAAACAAAAAATGCTTGAATACAATTATTAGTGAGTTTAAAAGCGGCAATAAATCTCGTCTTTGAATAAATTTTAAATTATTAATATCAGAGGATAAGAGAAACTTACATATAGAAAGATTATTTAGGGAAATTGCTTGTCAAATGTCAGATAGTAGAGGTCGAAAATACAAAATGTGACACTAATCGATGTAAGTGAACCAATTATTTACCGGAAGTGTCAGAATGAAAAAAACGTAGCATAACATTTTGTTGAAAATATTGTCGACGTGGCTTGGAAAATAAAAAAATTATTGAAAGTATATGTGGCAATAATTATGACAGATGAGGATAATGACAGGCATAATTCGTGTAATTTGTGTAAACACGACGTGAAACAAGATACTAAAGTCAGGGACCACTGTCACTTAACAGGAAAATTCCGGCAAACATAGTGTATTAGATGTAACTTGAAGCTCAAACAGCCAAAAATTATGACGCACATTTTATCGTGATCGAGTTGGATTACGATCCCAAAACTATTCCCGTGATTCCAAATAGCAAAGAAAAATTTATTTTAAAGTATATAAGTAATACCTTCAATATCAGATTCGTTGACACAGTAAGATTTATGGCATCAAAATTATCAACTTTGGCCATCAATAACCTAATAATGCCAAACTTGGAGAAATTCTGCGAGACCTTGAAATATTTTTCAGTAAATGACATGCCGTTTGTTACTCGTAAAGGCGAGTATACTGTATACATATGATTTTACCGATGATTGGTCAAAGCTTGAGCCGATAAAATTACTATTAAAAGACAAGAGATTTCTCCTGAGTTTCTTCTTTATAAGAATAAAACTGTTGCATCAAGCATATTTGTTTCCAGAAAGATAAAACTCTCACTTCTAACGTTCAACGTAAAAATAAAACGTTTTTATTACTTTCAACAATGCATGCAAAAGGAAACCTTGATAACATTACTTAAAAGCCAGAAATAAACATAGACTATAAATTATAATTGTACAAAAGGTGGTGTAGTCGATTTAAATACTGTCAACAAAATGTGTACTACTTATTCTGTGTCTAGAATTATGAAACGTTGGCTTTGTATAATTTTTTGTAGTTTAATGAATATTGCTAGAATAAATGCTCAAATATTATATGTATTTTTAAAGTCGAATAATGCACCGAAAGGGCGTAGAATTTTTCTAAAAATTTTGTCAGTAGGTCTTATGAAAGAACGCCTTATTTTAAAACCCAACTAGTATTTATAATTCTAATAATAATTTTGAACGTCCATTAAGTTACACATAATAGATTCAACACTATATAATATGTTGATCAGTACTCGTAACGATAGTCGGTTCTTGTGCTGGCTGTACAACAGTCACCAAGCTTTCCTTTTGCATCCTTGATTGCCCGATCACGGTCCTCACACGCCCATTTGAGTCGTTCTACTTCATTTTCGACCGACTCCAATGTATTCCACTTTCTGACAGTCTTATCGTCCTGGGTATCGAAACCCGTGCATTGCGCTATAGATGACAAACGATCGGATAAATTGTGTACATTAAGTCGCTCCTTCTCGGCTTTTAGGCAGGATAATCGCTCAGCTAAAACTTTTGCTTCAGCCGTCAGCTGACAGTTTTCAATTTTCGCACACTTCAACTGGTGTAGCGTATCAGTTAATTGTTCGTTCAACTGGCTTCGTTCATCACTCAGTTCCGAAAGGAGAGTCTTTGCGCGACATTGCTCCGCTTTTTGAGCTGTTTTCAATTCACAATGCGAGTTTGCCGCGTTTTGACTCTTAGTCTTCCAGCCGGTTGCGGCAACGCATGCGTCAGTTAATTCACGACGAACCATGTCTATACACTGGTCAGCCCGAGCCAGTTTTTCAGGCGCTGCGTGCCTATGCGCTTCTAATTCCGTTTCTCGTTCCTGGCATTCAGTGATTAACTCTTGTAGGGACCTGTCACTGGAGATATTTTGCCGCTGCAGTTCAGCTAGCTGATTTCCCTCGCTCTGAACCATCGCTTCCTTATCGGTTAACGCGCATCGTAACTTTTGTGTTTCGGTGGTTTTGCAATCGATCGCAGTTTCCAAGTCAGTCTGTTGCCGTTGAAGCGACTTTGCACACTCCTGCATCACAGAAAATAAACATTGATGTTGTATTGTTCTACGGTTTATATAGAAGCACAATCACAGTGAGACATATATGTTTATAATGACTTTTTATGGATCTTACACATTAGAGATAACAAGTTTTTGCATACTAATGATGATTATTATTAAATATGAAAATGTTGTATAGTTAAAATGGACTAAATACAAAAACTAGTATTAAAATGCTATTGTCTTAGTTCAAAAAAATTATAAAAATTAAGTCCTCCTACATAATTCTACTTTTAAAGAAAATATACGGTTATCAACAACAAATCTAATAATATTTTCATACATTTTATACAAAATAATTTATAACTGTACAATAATTATACAAACAATAATTGTATATGACAATTATTCAATTTGAAAATAGATAAATTAAATCTTACGAGTTTCACACTAATGTATATATTATTATTTTACTAAATAAATATGTTTTTTTTTAATTATACCATTTACAAGCGAGTTTATAGCTCTATATTTTCAATTACACAATTAATACTAAAATGTGAGAGTCAGAAAATAATTTGCTAAAAATTATCTTTACCCCAGCATTATCGATATTAGCTCCTTTCTATTATTATCTTAGTATTGTTTGTAGTACGTAATTACAAGATACAATTATTATATCTTTGATAAAAGTATCACACAGCTACAACTCATTTTCGCATATTCACCATTTTTATAGTTCATTTGCACACAAAAACACTACTCATTTGCGCTCAATTTGCATACAATAAAAACTTTTTTTTTTAAATTTACCCATGTATAGAGTGTACATAACCTACGACGTACCTCCAAATTTTTGAATTGGCCATTAGCAGGGTTGTGTATTTAATGCACTAAAAATGTGTTAAATGTATACATGCATTTTTACACTAAAAACAGACAATATATACATTAAAAAAATTTAAAAAAACAAGCAAATCATTAAATTCACAGCGCTAGTAATTAGTGATGATGGAAAATTATTATATTCTATAACATTTTCCTTCGTCCTTTATCCTTAAGACTTTCTATAAAATCATATTCTAGTATCATTAATTGGTGGGTTTAAAAATGCTATTTGAGTTATTTAATTTCCTAAAAATAATATTAGGATAATAATCCTAATAAGCCTCATTATTTACAATTTTGTTGATTAAAAAAAAATATTTTGATTACAATTGCAATAATTTTTTACAATTAAGTCCTTAAAATAATACATATTAAAAATCAAGTTTAAACCATACATATTTATCATATATTAGTACGCATTTGCATTAAATATGTTAAAAAGTCAATTTTTTAGATTTATGATCAGAGTACATTTTTCATATAAATTTGTTTATTAAATATTTCGTTTTTACGGATATTTTCTTAAATTTTTTATGAATTAATTTTAAAATCAGTATCGACTTGAATTCTTATTAATATTTGAAGTATTAGGTTATAAATAAAGTGATAAATATTAAAGCTTTTCCCACACGACTCATGTGTGGCAAGCACAGTACTCGCGATTATTATAACGTATTATTACTGACAGGTGACAACTAATAAGAAACCACGATTAAAAATAATCGCTATACTTAAAGGACACTGTACATTCCAAAACTATACCTAAAAATAGATTTCCGTTGTACACAATTTTGTGTGCAAAGTAGTTGTTTCAAATTTATAAAATCTATTGGTATGTGCACAAACGAGTCTCAACTGTAATCACACGTACACAAAAAAAAAATCGAGAAGGGGTTCACAAAAATGATTTACAATAATCATTAATTTATTTTGTTTTACTTTTTATTTACCCCCTCCCTCTCCCATACGTATACAGGCCTGATCACAGATATCTGTTGTCCAACCCTTATATTGAAGTGAAAATTACTTTTTCATTATTGATTTTATCCCAAAGATCATTATTGGATTCTATAGCTGCTTTTTTTGATTTTTCCAGCTTTTTGATTTTTTCAATAATCTGCAATTGTATAGATGATTGAGATTGTATACTGCACTCTAACTCATGGTTATTTTGTTCCAACTCTTCAATCGTGCTCAATATTAAACTGTACTTCAAAGATGTTGATTCTAACTCTTGATTGATTTCATTATAAGACTGTTGATGAAGTGCCTTTTTATCTTCAATTGTTCGTTGGAGATTATCCAACTTCCTTTGCAAATCACACATCTCTGCTTTAATTCGTTCATGCTTGGCCACATTTGCTTCCAATATATTTTTCTGTCCTTCCGTTTGCTTTAAACAAGCTTCTAGTAGTAAAATATCCGCGTTATCTCGTTCAGTTGAATGAAAGTGCTGATCACAATTTAAATGTTGTGAATAATCCATGATTGGCTAAAATGTAATATTAAAAATGAATAAAATACACAAATTAATCATGAAACAATTATAATATGTCAACATAGTTTAATATACTTACATAGCAGTTAATAATTTGATAAAAAATCTTCTTAATTAAAAACTATGAATTTTGAGAGTTAACTAAACTTCACAATTACAAAATATGTTATTATTATTATTATTATTATTATTATTATTAGTTACTATGTAAATCATATTTCTCTTAGTTACGAAAAGTGATGCTAAGCAATTAATATCATAATATTTAAATTTTCACTGCTGACTACAAAAATCTAAAGCATCTGCTCTGTGCTGACTTTATTTTATAAATTATTGAAATTGTGCTTCCACTCTATAAAGATAGATCTATACTCAATAAATCTAAAAAAATTAAAAAAATAAAATTGGACCAAAACTTATCAAGTTATAGATAACTATATAACTCTTAGACAATGTTTCTTAAAATTCCTTGTAAATAAATTAATGCACAAAATCAATCAAATATTAGAGTTTTCATTTTTTTTTAAGTCATACATTTATTTTTTAACAGAATTTAAAATTTTTAAAAAACAATTTACATACATTTCATAAAAAATTAAAATAAACAATATTTAATCATAAAAAAATATATTATGCTTGCTATTAAAATAATAATAGTATAAAATCTAGGCTAAATAATTTTTATGATAACTTAAATTTAATGTAATGAATGAGTAACTTTGTAATAGGTTTTGTATGGTAAATACCAAAACAAGGTGTTACAAATAATCCAACGTCACATAAATCACACATATATAATGTACCTTTTCTTTTATTATTTTTAAAGCATACCTACAATACATTTTCTTTTGTTAGCTTTTCTAACTTAATTTTTGGACACATCTGTTGGAAAATGACAGGTTATAACTTATAAGTCGAGTTGGTTCATCTTTTATACTTATTCTTCCTCTATCAGGACTATTATTATATTTTCCATACTTATCCAATAGCTGTCTTATAAGTTCTATTTGAAAATTAGCTATTGGTATATTTTTGACAATTACAGTTTTATATGCCAAAAAAGAATTTTTAAAACATGAATCAACTAAATTAAAGAATAAATTTTTGTACCGCTTTATTGAAGCATATCACATTTTATCGATATTTTCCAAACATTCATTATAGTTTACAATACATGTAGGTTTTTTTATAATTTAATTACTAGCTCTATCTGTTTTGTTTGTGTTGGCTGAACTAGAATCATATAATGATGATAACATGTAAACTTATCTTCTATTTAATCACTTCAGTGCCATCATTGTTTGTTTGTGGCTATTCTGTACTTCACCTAATGCTAATTTTTTTTTTTTTAATAGGCATCCCTCTTTTATTTTTCCTGACAGTTCCAATTAGTGTTGTATTTTTTTTTTTTTTATATAGCTGTTAGCATAAAATATGTGAGGTGTACACCAGTTGTCTGTGTATAATTTGTGTCTTTTTTTTTAGATGTGGTGCCATTAAAGTTATAACAACTGCCCAGATATTCTTGAAATGGCATCATATAGCCTTGAAATTGACACAGATTTCATCCAACTCCACATCTAATTTAAAGTCTATCTCTCAATATTTGGTTTTCATTATTGCAAAAGTGTTAGATATGTAAAATTAATAAGTACTTATCTCTGCTTAAAATATTATTGAAAATGGGGGACATTAGGAGTGGATCTGTTGACCAATATTAATATATTTCTAGCTTTTTGTTACGAGCCATAAGCATATTTGTAGTTAAAGACACATTAAGTTCTCCCATATTTGTTGGCTTCCAATATTTCACTCTAGACTTTGGTGCTATGTATTCTTTGTTTAAATATTGCCCTACATACCAATTAATTTCAAACACTTCTTAGTTCTTTCCCAAGGACAAACGTTGATATGAATACTTCAAAGAAATCTAAAATAGAGTTGTCATAACTCAGCCCAAATTCATGTTTTTAAACTCCACACTATATAAACAATATAAATTACAGAATAATAAGTGTATTTTTTGTATTTTTCCTATTTATATATTATACTTATTTTTACAAAAATAATGATAGTAAAAATATCAGAACTATTATATTATTATAGTAATACTAGTATTTGTTATAGTTATCAGAATTACAACTTCTACTCGTACTGCAATAACAATTATAGGCATTATATAATTACAATATTAACTATATTGTGTCTTATAATAAATATAATTACTATAAAAATATTATTATTTTAGCAAATACGTATTTTGTTTACAGCTCATAAAATTTATTAACTTAGATGAATTATAATTTTGTATCTTAGTGCTAAATTTTCCTGTTGACCTCCATTTGAAATTCAGCGTATGCAAAGGTTTATTTATATGTTCTCTCCTTATATTTCGTTTAAAGACTAATGTAACATTTTAAGTAACTGGCACTTCTAGAAAAGCTTTATTCGTTTCAGAAATTCCAAGTAGATCTAAAATAGATGAATATTAAATACAATTACTAGGTATCTATTATATACGTGAAGTAAACCAATTAGAAATTAGAAACTATTATGCATTACACAACTACATTTACCTTGTTCGACATTATCATTAAATGATTGAATTTCTTCTGTTCTGTTGTGCGACAAAGGTGGCGATACCAATGTATTTATTGAACAAAAAAGAAAGTTTTAGATCAATAGTTATATAGAAAAAAAAAATGAAATATTATAATTTCCTAAATCATCATTATCAAAACACAAATCATTGAGGAACTTATCAATCGATTCCTCGTTAACTAATATATTATTTTATTTAGAATAAAAAGATGAAAGGGGGAAGGCTCTTAGTTTAGCACGCAGGCCCATCTTTGGGATAAACCGCCACTGTACCACTGTAAGTAGGTACTCCCATGAAATACATAATTGCATATACCTCCTGTTTAGTAACAATTGTACATTTTTAATTTATAAACAAAATATTTTACTTATCTATATAATCTATCTAAAGTTTACATAATATATATATCAACACGGTTAAATTTTTATTTCTCTTTATAGTCATATTTTATAATCATTTTACAGTAATCCAAAATATCGTCACATTTGTCACATTTCTTCAACCATGCTCTGCCATCTATCGGTTTGAATATGAATCATATAATATAATATAATATATTAAAAGATATTATGTAGGATTCAACATCCTTTTCCACACGACATTAGCGTCAGTCCTTCAAGCTTATTTTCACACATAGTACTTCTAAGATAATATGTTTTGATCAGCTTTAGTTTTAAAAAAGCTCTCTCTGGAGAAGCATATAGTGGTAGTGATAGAGCTAAACTAAGAGTAAAATTCAACAAATTCGAAATTCTATTAGAACAATTCATGTCATTTGTAACTTTTTTAAATCATCAACTTAGCATCTACATATATTAAAACAAAATATTCTTTAGTACTCGTATATATCAGGAACTAAAAAAAATAACATTAATTTCAAAGTGTGAAACGAGGTAGGTTGAAAACTATGATGCATTCTTAGATTGATTGAAATTTATTGTCCAGTTTTGTACACGTTAGAAGAGTTGTAAAACCACCATAATAGTGAAACTTCGTCTAAATCTTCACAATTACTTAATGCTATTATTAAAAACAAGATTGTAATTAGTTTCAACATAGCTGATGAATTATTTTCTCTGACTTGCTTCTTTGCGAAGATTTTCAAAAAGTAAATTTTAATCTTTATGAAGCATACGAACATATTGAAAACATACGAAATTTTAATGAAAAAGCGAGAAAACGCCAATGAAGAGTTATGGCAGACAAAATGGACCAAGATTTAAAAGAAAGATAGGCCATAAAATGCTTTTATTACGTTGTTTTAGTGTAATCTAAATTTTTTCCATCAATTTCTTATTTATTAAATATGTTGGTAACTTTGCCTGTAACAACATAACATTAACACCTGAAAAGACGTTTTCAAATTTAAAACGCCTAAAAAACTGTTCTAAGTAAACGAACCGGACCATAAAGATTAGTAAGACTAGCCCATATGTGAGTGTATATGTAGATATTGAAATTGACACTGAAAAAGTTATCAAAAGATTTTCAAATTCTTCAAGGAAAATCAAATATGTATAGTAGTATTATAATACATACCTAATATACTTTAACCCCTCCCCCACAACAAAATAAAAATAAAAATAGAAATATTTTGCTTAAATGCACCATTAGGAATATTTGAGTATTAACAATTTCGATGATAGTGAAGTAAGTTTTTATTTTAAAATTTTGAATTGGATTTTGACTTGACTGCTCATCCAATGCCATAAAACCTTTTTACATCTCATGTGAGTTTGAATAAAAAGGGTTAATCAAACTCATTATTTTTTTATGTAATAGATTCTTCTTTTTTTTTTCAATAAGACTTTAACATAGTACGCAATGGTCGCCAATACAAAGTAATAATAATATCGGTTTTGAAATCAAATTAGAAGGAACTATCTTAGACAACTAGAATTGCGAAGCGTTACTAAGACATGACTTCCTTGTCTATAATGAAGTCTTTTAGGATTACGCCACGTGTAAAATTCACATGGGTAAGCTGGAAAAGAAAAGCACAACCCACCCACCATTAGTTCCGACCTGTCACAATTAGAATTTGGGGACGATACCGAAACTCACAGAAGTATTAAACAAATACGTGGTAGTACACATATTCAAGTAATAAAGTAAGACGTACCAAATTAATTGAACACATTAAAAAAAAAAAAATGTTTTTTGTACATTAATTTTAATTAATTAATTTTTCTTAAAGATCCATCTCCGATTGCGATTAAACCATAGCCATATCCACAACAGAAACAAATTGCAATCGATGAGACATGATGAGCCTACCTAGATGATATAGTAGTATTTTCAAGGAATGAGTACGAACACTAGGCTCACTTGGACAAAGTTTTCGAACGTCTCAAGAGATTCGGACTAACGTGTAACACAAAAAAAT